TTGCGTGCGTGCGTGCGAATGTGCGTGTGTGTGTGTGTGTGTGTGTGTGTGTGTGTGTGTGTGCGCGCGTGTGTGCGTTTGAATCGGAGTCAATTTTTACTGCGGCAGCGGTAACTAACTATACGTCTGCCTGCCTACGCGTCTCTCTATTCTATAGGATGCCGCCTTTGCACAGCGGTGTGCGTTTATGTCACCGAGTATAGCGACGGAAATTTAAAAGCATTCAAACGAATACGGCTCTGATCATGTAATACGCCGCGCATCCTTTCACAAAATCCTTTCAACGGCGCATGTTAATGTATATACCTCAAGCTACAGAAGAGTCAATATCGCCGCGTGTGGAGAGGAGAGTTTGAACAGGGATGGGTATAATATATAGCTCTTACGGCTGCGCGTCTTTTGATCTCTGTCGACTCTTGAAAATGAAGACCACGGGGCACTATGCCCTCATCCAGTTTCGACTTCACTTATTTTTAACAACTTATTACTCGATGCTATGAAACCTATAGGGTTAGCGGGAGCACATTTATTGCATTATCATAAGTAGGCTTGACTATATATATATATATATACATGTATATTACGTTCTACGTTATATTATTTATATTATAAGGGCCGTTTTTTGTGACGCGTATGATCTCGGTTCATGTAGCTCTGGTACTATAGCCCTTGTTGCCACAGGCTAAGGCATGTGGCAACAAGGTGTATAGTACTAGAGCTATCAGTTATGGAACATTGTACCGGGTCGTTTCCGTCACTGACAGTTGCGTGAATATGTCGTTTATGTTTTCGTCTCCTATGAATCTATAAATATAAATGTAAAAATTATATATGAATGCACTTCTCATGATCTTTGTTTGTCGCACGCAGGTCCGCTGGCGGGCGCCTTGGTGAACAAGTTCGGCTGCCGCGCCGTGACAATTCTAGGATCGGTAATAGCCTCTTTTGGCTGCATCATCAGCATCTTCGCTCCCAGCCTGGGCTTTCTCTACATCTCCTTCGGTACCATCACTGGTGAGTATTTAAGTCTTCCTTCGCTTAGTCAGGGCTTCTTCTCTGTGATCGATCAGAGATGCTGGCGCTGTCGGTTTCTCTCCTGTCGAACAGAGAGGAATGAAAGCAACCACGAATGATGTAATGTCGTTTTCGTAGAAATCTCGTGTGTAAATCTAGTGATGTAGAGATGTCACGACTAGATTTAACCAGATTTCTCTTTAACAGAATGGATTGTTCTTCGTAATATCAGGAGTAAATAATCACAAAGATTTGTGATTTGGGTTTATTTACTCCCGGAAATACGAATACGTCAGAATTATTAGAAACATTTCTTATAAGTCGACCTTTTTTAACGCTGACGGTTACAATCTCGCTCTTACGTTAGAGCTAGCTCTATAGCGTTATCTCTCCTCATGCCAAGCATGAACACTATATACTCTACAACTGCGTTTAAACGTAGCGAAAAGCGAACGATTTCACATCGTACGTATCTATTGATGTATCGTGAACAAACCTAATATAAGCTCCTGATATCAGTTTAAAAATACGCAGCGTGTGTTTGCAAAGCGCATTATCTCGTTGTAGTACGTGTTGCGTGACAAAATCGACAAAATTGCAAAAATTGAAAAGGGTTGAAACCTATATTTGGTGTTGCTATCTTTGGTTGTTTTATTTTAACGTCGGCGTCATGCATTTGTATCAAGAGTAGATAAATAACGATAATGTTATTTATCTACTCTTGATTTGTATCTACCTAACCCTTGTACTTCTGGGTCACGCTGTCTTGTTTAAACATTCACATTTGATTGCGAATGTACTTTATACCCTCGTGCGGCTGTGTCGCTGTCTGTGCATGGAGAGAATTTAATTAGATCTTAGGTATATAGATGTTTTCAAGAGCTCGTTAACGGGCCATTAATGGGCTCTTGATGTTTTGCATAAACGTGGAGGAGCGTAAATAACACATGTACATCGTAGTTACTAATTGGCTTTGGCCTCATCCACAGGCGGTGCTTTACCGCTCACCCCATCACTCACTCTCTCTCTCTCTCTCTCTCTCTCTCTCTCTCTCTCTCTCTCTCTTAGAGAGAGAGGGGGAGGGGAAATAGAGATAAGTAGAGAGAGAGAGAGAGAGATATAGCCGGTTCTTGCACTTACGGCCGTATGATCACGAGAGATATTCGTAATTGTTATGTAACGGGTCGTCCGACAGACACAGCTGATGACAGACGTATATGGCCGTGCAACCCTTTTCTGTGGTGCCACGTGCTACTCGCGTACGATGGCACTAGTAAATCGGAGGGGAATTTAACTGTAGCTATACCCGGTGTCAACTGGTATAGTACAAAATGCCAAACGCGAATGCACTGCTGCTTCTGAGAACTTGATCTACAAACATAGGGAGAATAAGCTCGATTATCTGCTCTAATATTTGCGAACGCGACCCACAAACCGCGCCACTCACACTTACGAACTTTAATTTGTCTATCAGTCCAACCGTTGTGCAAAATATTTTTCTAAAAATTGAAAAATTGCGTTGCGAAATTTGCCATGCGGTCGGACGTAGTACTTTTGAAAATGTTTAGGTGTAGGCGTATTGCAGACTCGTTTTTATTCGAAACGAAAATTCTGAAAAACAAAAATACATGCAATTAAACGATAGAAAAACTTAAATGGTGCAACTAACGAACGATGTAATTGTCATGTACTATATCGTACCCGCTAAACACACATTACAGGGCCTGTGTTCACAGCAACTCGACACGGCGATCGAAATGACATTTTACTTGTTAGTCGAGTGTGTTCGTTCATTCATCGGGAACTCCGATTTAATTCTGAATGCAATTGAGTTTCGAACGCGCAAACATTCCGCGTGTTGAACAAGCTGGCGCGATATGTGCAAACGGGTCGTGATTGCATTTGCTCAGCACTTGTTCGCCGTGCGTTAAAGTTACGCGAGTTGAAAGGATGTATAGTACCAGACTACCAGTGCTTTATAGTGCGTCGTGCGCGATAAATTAATTCACACTATAGATATGTGCTGTACAGCGTAATACGTTACGTAACCGTATTTATATAGAAGCCACACGCGGTGTCTAGTGTTGCTGATGTCCCAATTACGATTCCTCGCAGCCAAGAACGCGCCGGGAATGTTTCCGCGTAAATACTTGAGCAGAGTTAATCCCGTTTGCGTTGACCATGTGCAAATAGGACTATGTGTTGGGCTGATAGTACCGATGAACTAAGAAGATAAATCCTGCAAAACACGCCTGTACGCAGCAGTGTGTGCGTGCGTGCGTGCGTGCGTGCGTGCGTGCGTGCGTGCGTGTGTGTGCGCGCTTGCGTGCGTGCGTGCGAATGTGCGTGTGTGTGTGTGTGTGTGTGTGTGTGTGTGTGTGTGTGTGTGCGCGCGTGTGTGT